CCCGCGGGCCCCGCGCCAGGCGGCGGCCCCACACCCGCGTCTGGGGCCCGCCAGCGCCGCGCTCAGACCCTGCAGCTGCTCCGCCCTGTGCTGCCTGGGAGCCGCTCGTGGGTCCTTTGCAAGCGACCCCCTGGTGCACCCGGAGGGCCGCGTGGCTTCTCTGCCCTTTATCCCCTGGGGAGGTGGGTCCCAAGGAATTGCCAAAAGGTGCCACCAGCCTTTCCTCCTAGCTTCGGTTCCTGAGGGAGGCCTAGAATATTTTGCCCCGGCCCCACGATACTTCAGAGGAAGGACCTCTTGAGCAGCCGCATCTTACCCTTCGATCTCGGTCTCCAGGAAAAAGAAGTGTAATACGTAATCAGGGGTCTGGGTGAGTCCCTGGTGGGTTGGCCACCACAGTGACCACCCCATGAGACTTACGTGAGGTTAAGCATGATGGCCTGAACCTCACACCCAGAGTCAAGCGGAGTACGTTTGCTGTTCTGTGAGATTCCCTTGCACACCTGTCCGTGAACACACTGGCTCAGTCCCAACCACCAGATAAATGCCAGGCAGAGAGCAACAAACCTTCCAGAAGCAATTTTAACAACTGAAGAAAAAGAATGAAATCAGGACATAAGACTTCCAGGGTGTGAGCCCCAACCTTGCGAACACAAGATTTTCTCTTCTTTTGGAAAACTTCATCGGGATGGAAGGAACTTGGGAGACCTCCATGAGGTTTCTGTCCAGCCGTGACTCCTTTCTCAGAGGAATCATAAGGATTCCACGCTTCTGTCTACCAACTTCGCCAGGGATGGTGCCAGGCTGCCCAACTAGTGGAGTGAAATCCTGACTTGTCAGTCCAAAGTGTTGTAGATTCTTGCACTTTACTGTGTGCCTCCTACCCCTTCCCTGACCATCACTGCGCACAAGAGCACCTCTCTCCGTGGCTCCTAAAATCTGTGGGTCTGCGTTCACCTAAAGAGTAGATAGTTTAGGGCCAACCACGTACACATTCTACCTTGAAGTAAGGATGCAGTTTCCCAGAAGAGATGCTGGAGGCACAGCAACAGCTGGAAGTCACCGCTGCCTCTTGTGCATTGCAGTGGCCACAGGTGCCTGGCTGTTTTGTCAGACGGTTCTTCCCTGAACTCTGGTAAGCTGACAAATCACAAATGCACAGCTAGAGAGTAGTATAATAGTCATGTTGTAGCCATGATGAACCAGGAATTGTGTGAGGGGCAAGGATTTCTTAGGGTGAAATCTTTTACTGGACCAGCTGCATAGATGGGATAGTTAGACAAGTTTTCCAATGTAAGACATTCTTTATCAGGTCTGACCAGGGCAAGCCAAGCACAGCCAGAAAGTAAGCATGGACTATTGTGGCTTGATTTCAAATCTGTTTGTGAGTCAACATGGTGTGGTTTCCAGGACCTGTTAAGTGGGGAAAAGAAGGGCCCTGAACACAAAAGGAGAGGTAGAAAATGTGTGCATAAGTGTGGCTAAGGGGAGGGAGTTTTTCCTCTTTCAGTTCAGGGGATCATGGGCACTTTCTCCCTCTTGTTGAACAGTAAGGATCAGAGTTACATACATATTGTATCATTGGCACACAGTTAAACGTCTAAGGGTAGTTTAATGTTTCCTCAGGACAATAGTAGTTCTTCCCTCCCCTTTTTTGAATAAGGTTATTACCATCCATTACCATTTAGATGAATTTTCATCCCAGCATCTCTCTTGGTTTCCCTAGCGAAACTCAGTGGGGGTTTTTTCCTGAATAATATACACAGTCACATTCTTTCTCATTTATCTATATCATATGTGATTCATTGTAGGCAATAATTCAGACCAGCACACCTTGAAAGAATGGGTGCTGGTACACAATAAAAGATTCACTTATATGAAGAACATTATAGTCCCTTCTTTCTGCACGTTTTTAGGAGGCTTCCAATGCAAAGCTTATGTAACAAAAACATGAGAATGGTATTAATTCTTGTCGCCTCTTTAATTCTTATTGCAATAAATATAAAAAGATAGATTTAAGAAGTATCTTGAAATTATTAAATCAATGTCTACGCAACACATGCATAGCCTGAAACTTTTGCATATAGTATTTATTTTATTAATTTTCTGTAGAAATTTTTCTAACAGGAAGCAACTTTTGGCTTAAATTTAAATATAGTAATCATTTATGCACTTTTACCCCTAGCCTTTCTCTTCCACGTGGTCACCTGCAAGGCAGCAGGGGCTGAGGCTTTCATAGTTTCTAGGGTCAGAAAGGACCTGAGCAGATCATCTAGTCTGACCCCCTGCCATGGCAGGAAAGAGTACTGGGGTCAAACGACCCCAGCAAGGTGTACATCTAACCTCCTCTTAAATACCCCCAGGGTAGGAGCCTGCACCACTTCTCTTGGAAGTTGGTTCCAGATCCTAGCCACCCTGACCATGAAGTAGCACCTCCTGATATCTAGCCTAAACCTACCCTCTGCCAGCTTGTGACCATTATTCCTGGTCATGCTCAGGGGAACAGGGACTCCCCCAAGAAGACTTGCTTCTTATCAGCTCACTCAACCCAAGTCACCTCAGCCTGTAAACAGGAATTCTGCCACACAGCCACCACTGGTGGCAAGAGAGACTTGAACTCAGATCTGTCAGAACCCAGGCAAAGCATTCTTGCCACTGAGCTATTGGAGGAGTTGTCTTTCTTATATTCAGATGTGCCACTGTGACATCAAGATTTCCTTAATATAAATCATTGACACAAACACTTTATTATTTAAGTTATAGATTTATTTGTTTGTGTTAAAGGGATTCACTCTGCATTATCAAAAATGGGCATGCAAGGGGGAAATATTTGTTTGCCTTGTTTTGGGCTTTTTATGTTATGTAAAAAAAAGTTCTGATCCCATTACCTTTTCTGCTTGAACAAGGGTTTTCGTAAGTGGTTTTTATACTTTAGGCCCTTGGCAGACATTCAGTTAAAGGCATCATACTGTGGTACACATGCATGGCAGGAGGGGCAATTGTAGGATCAGGGATCAGATCCCATTCGCAGCACATTGTTGGTGCAAAGTGAGCCCAGGACCATGATTGTGGACATCCCTTACAACAGCGAGTAGCAAGCTTGTTAGCTGACTGGGGCTCCCAACCTCGGTGGCACATCAGAACCCTTATCTCTATGTACCCCCACGGGTTGGAGCCTTGATCAGCTGCTCTTGGGAATGGCAGCTGATCAGAGCTCTCAGTCCCTAGGGCACAGCGGAGCCCTTGGTAGAACCCTTGGATCTGATATGCCATTGGAGGCTGAGAGTGGTAGCTGATTGGGGCTTCTCACCTTTACAGGCGTGCATCAGAGTCAAGGGCTCTGATGCACCTCTGAGACTGGGAGTGGCAGTCAGCTGATCATCATTCCCAATTTCAGGAGCGCTTGGGAATTACGGAACTTCATGCACTCCCAAGGATGGGAGCCCGTCAGCTCATGCCAGGTCATACATGCAATTTAAGGTATGATGAGAACCAGCCACAATGTTTACACAAACCATATTTTGTGTGATAACTTTGCAGCTTATTCCTTGTTTTGTGGTGCCATTAATTGCATTAGTGTATGGCTGGGTTACTACTTAAGGCATGATTAATTGGTTAATCATGTCTTGAGTGTAATGTAAGCCAAGAGTCTTAGAAACATCATCTCTGCTAAACAAGGGCCTCATTTTGCTAGACACCATACAAACCCAGCACCAAAAGACCGTCTGCTTCCAGAGGACCAAAGGCCTAAATACAGCTGAGAAGTAGCCATGCCTTTGAATGTTGTTGTTGCAAAGTTGTTAGAGTGAAAAAGTCTTCTCTACCCTAAAAAAATCTTCAGCCTCAGTGATTACATCTTTCACAATGTGTTTGAATTAAATAGGTTTTATCAAAAGCTAACAACACCTAATGGTTGCATCAAAATGTGCAGGCACATGCGGTTTGTGGGGCCACCGTCCTTTTCGTAGCAGTGCAAACTGTATGCAGTAAGCTTTAAAATATGTTACTGGGATTTCCCAGTAGCAATAAATAAATAAATAAAAACAGGCAGAAGAAGTGGCACAGCACACGCAGAGGTCAGGCCATCTGGCCAGGCCTCCATGCTGCCAGACCTGTGCCTCTGCTGCTCGAGGCCAGCAGGTAGGACTGTCCCTGGCTGCAAGAGCAATTTGTCCCATAACAAAGGCACATGCAGGAATGTGCACTCTGGCAATTTGTGCTGCTACAAATGCTCGCCTCTGCATGTCTAGATATGGCCAAAGAGTTTTAACTCATCTGATTAAACTCCCTCTCAGTTACTCAAAATTCCATTTTTGTGTAGTGTGCTTCTACGGCAGAACACAGGTTTTGCCTGCCACTTTAAGGGGGCTGAGCAGGTAGCAAGCAGCCTGCTGGTGGACGCAGACCCAATCAGGTGGTCACATGTTAGGCAGGAGGCCACCTGATAGGTGAAGAGGTTGCGAGCTTGGGTAGAAGGCTAGGTCCCAAGAGCAGAGCGGACAGTTGCTGCAGGGGGCAGAAGGAACAACATCACCCAGCTGGAGATTTGCTGCTCCGATTCTCTGGAGGTCAAGGGTAAGAACTATGGGGATGGAGGAGGTTCATGGTCCTGGGAAATGACCTAAAACTACACCCTGCTAGGGTTGGTTGGTGTGGTGGGGCTGCTTGTGGCAGGACAGTCCCAAGGAAATGTCACACCTGTGCCTTCCCAGTGAAAGGTGAGTATGGGGCACTGGATAGGCCAGTTAGTCTTACCTCGATCCTAGGCAAGCTGTTTGAGAAAATTATTCTGGCACACATCCAGGAGGGGCCAGCAGGGGACTGCATGCTTAGGGGCAACCAACACGGGTTCATCAGTGGCAGGTCCTGTCAGACCAACCTGGTGGCCTTTTACGATCAGATCACCAGATCATTAG